GGAACATGGCATTCACTAGCTATTATAGCGTCAAGAATAAATGTTAGGCCTACTAAAACAGAGCATGTCTATTTGACAATGGCATTCACTAGCTATTATAGCGTCAAGAATAAATGTTAGGCCTACTAAAACAGAGCATGTCTATTTGACAATGGCATTGACTAGCTGAGGCTGCCAATGTATTAAGCACATCCCGAGTACAGAGTTATTCCAATCCTTCGTACGGTTTAATACTCAGGCCAAGACTTTTTGTTTTAACAATGTCAATGTACAGAACTAGTCACTTCCAATATTTAATCCCTCTATTCGTGAATATTTTCTTTAATCTTGTTCGAGCTCAAACTTAAAAACATAAGTTAGAGGAAAAAATATGTTTTTCGGTGCATTACAATACTTAGCACATACTGCTTTGTCCTAGGCACAGATGTTTAGTATATTTGTTGTAGGCCTAGTAGATATACATTATAGAGCAATTGGTTTATTAGTTAGATATATGACACTACAGGTCTGATCGGACTGTATCCTCTGACATTTGAATGACTGCTTAGAGTTTTGAGCACCCTTGGTTGGGGATGACACCATTACAGTTCTTGGAAAACAATATATATATATATATATATATATAATGTGTGGGATTTTAAAAAGTACCTTCCGTCTTATTTTATACGCAGGCTTTCAATTTCAATCCTGACGTTTGATAGTCACTTATTAGAGTTTTGTTGTAAAAATGATTAATATGTTTGTAATAAAGTTCTATGTGTGTATTTTAAAATGAGTTCAACAATTTTCTAAATAAATATCACTTGTTTTTAAAGCTGTTGACGCTTACACCACAAACATTGAAATGAGCTATTCTTATAGATTATACATTTCTTTGTTGTTCCAGAATGTCTATTATTAGAATTTGTTTTAGATCTTTTTCTTTTCTGTTGCTATAGAGATCTTTTTCTGCTTTGTTTTCAAGGAACGTCTATTATTAGACGTTGCTATAGAGACCATTTTCTAGAATGTATATTATTAGACGTTACAATAGGTATCTTTTTCTGCTTTGTTTTCAAGGAACGTCTATTATTAGACGTTGCTATAGAGACCATTTTCTGATTTTCTAGAATGTATATTATTAGACGTTACAATAGGCATCTTTTTCTGCTTTGTTTTCCAGGAACGTCTATTATTAGACGTTACTATAGGTATCTTTTTCTGCTTTGTTTTCAAGGAACGTCTATTATTAGACGTTGCTATAGAGACCATTTTCTGATTCTCTAGAATGTATATTATTAGACGTTGCTATAGAGATCTTTTTCTGCTTTGTTTTCAAGGAACGTCTATTATTAGACGTTGCTATAGAGACCATTTTCTGATTCTCTAGAATGTATATTATTAGACGTTATAATAGGTATCTTTTTGTGCTTTGTTTTCAAGGAACGTCTATTATTAGACGTTGCTATAGAAACCATTTTCTGATTTTC